GCAATGGCGTGCAGGCGCGCACGCCAATCTGCAGCCTGTCGTGCGCGTGGGGGGTTGGCTTGCGGTTATCAACCCCCCAAGCTTGTAGCTCTGGTGGAAATAATGTAATCTTTACATTACATTGAAGATTACAAGGTTGGGTATCTGCTTGTTTTTACCGCATTGTTGTGCAATGCAGGAGTGGTTTTTAGTTTCAGTTTTTCTCCAGTTTGATGCTAAAAGCCACAATAAGTGTCAGCCTGCTACTAATCAGAGCCAGCCTGAACATAGCACTCATTTATAATTAGAGATATTATTACTTACATTAGAGATGTCCCTAATACCATAAGACTTGAAACCTCTCAAAATGTAGGAAATGAATTTAAAATTCCAAAAAATAATGAAAATTAGGCCTATAAGAATTAATTAAAAAAACATGCCAAATACAATATTCAAGAATTAATTTTCATTTTGATGCAAAATGATTATTACCATAATTTTTTGCATGTCTTAAAGTGTAGGAAAAAAAAAATTAAAATATCAAAAATTATTGAGAAACAAGCTGTAAGAAATTAATTGAAAAAATATGTTTGATTGGAATATTCAAAGTGATCCTTTGATTTTTAAAGAAATTGAATATTACCACAAAATTCTAAGCATTTTCAAAACTAGTAAATAAATTTAAAATTTCAAAAAAACATGAAAAAGAAGTGGTAAAAAATTAAGGGCATTAATAAAAAGACACGGTTTTTCCGTGTTTACACACGGTTTTGCTGCGGCACAGCACACGCGGTTTCCGCGTAAAACACGCCCAAACGCAGAATCTGTGCTGCGCGCAGCAAAAAACTGTGTTTTTTATTAAGGCCCTTATTTTATTTGTTCTTGTGTTTTTTCTTTTTTTCCCTCCTATATGGGCGGATATCCGCTGGGATACCCGGATATCTGCCAGGATTTCAGGGGAAAGGGGACATCCGCATCTGCTGGCAGATAGCGGATATCCACAACAGATATCCAGAGACCATCTCTAACTTATATATGTACATGCAATATATAATAAAAATATATTATTTAAATAAGTGGAATCACTATAAAAGAGAATTATTACATTGACCCAGAATCTACTAATAACTTCTGAACCTAAGTATAACTCACTGAGGCTGACAATAAGTTTCAAGTCCCCACGCAAGTAAGGATGAAAACTCATAAGCCTCCCTTTGGGAATGGCAGATGCTCCGCATCAGGGTGCAGAGCACCCCCAGTCCCAGGAGGTTTTGTTAAGTCAGACAACTCATGGGCACTTGTTTCTTGATTAATGCTGATGTGAATTGTTGGCATTCTTCCCAAACATTCTTGCCAACTTTGTGGTCTGGCATCACAAACACCCACTGCATGCAATAATGCTTGGACAAGCTGGTCGGATGAGTCCTCGGACCAGCTTGTCCAAGCAATCAGCTTTGGACAGTGACCGTGATTAATTCAGCCAGATTGCATCAGGTGGATTGGTCACCACCAACTACACATCTGATTGGCGTCAGTCACATTATATTCCGTGACTTTGTTACACTGAGCATCTCCACCGGGGGTGGTAAATCCGGGTTGTAAGCCCCGTTTACCAGTGATACCACCCCAATTTCCAGAACACTTCCCCACCGCGGGTGGTATATGGGGTGGTAAGCAACATCTCGTGTCCAAAAAATGTATCGAGGTTGTAGATCTACCACTGGTGTACCTTTCGTGCATGTGTGAAACCACCAATCCCGCTTGTGAAACCTCAATATGTGCAACCATTTCACAAGCCAATACCCCTCGTGCATCCAATCCTCAGTGCAGGTTTAAAACTTTGCAGTGGCGCACCTGCCTGATCTCAGGTGGCAATTCTGGAATGCAGGTGGTAAAGCCGACATTTACCACCCGTGGTGGAGATGCTCTTAGTCTGCATTTGTACAGTGCCCCGCGCGACTTCTCAACTACTTGGCACCTGCAAAATAAAATTTTCACTTTGGGCTTCTTCTCCTCTAACACATATCACCCTACAACTGCATACTATACATTTTTGAGCTTTAAAGAAGTAGTAGAACTGGAAAATATATAGCACAACTCTCTGTGCCCCTCCAATAAAAAGTTTTATTTTTTGGGGCCATAAAATTTGGAACAATGGCCTACAACAACAGTATTATGTAGTTATATGCATGCAGTATAGACTTATAATATATGAACTATGTACTTACAGGGTATTGGGTCTGAATTACAGATGCATATTGTATATTTTGACCCCTTGAGAACACACAAATGTGTATATTGAACTGTAGGGTATTTCAAATTTTCTTCAGTATGCAACCAGGAGGCATGTGTTTGTTCCTTTTTTTACCAGAATCTTCATAAAATCAGCTGAGAAGGTCCACTCCACCTAGAAATGAAGTAGAAAATAGAAAAAAATCATGGAAACCCCATCAAAAGTGGGAAAAAACAGCTCACTTTGGCAAAAAAAATCAAAAATTTCTCCCAAAAATTTGGAACACCCCAAGGTACTTGAGAAGTCGTGCGGGGCACTGTATCGACGCCTACAACTCATGGGCTCCTGTTTCCTCTTGTTTCTTGATTTCTACTTGTGTACTACATTTATATGTACGCCAAAATTGTCTTGAGGTACGTTGTACAACAGCAATCTCACCAAACATTCTTGCCGACTGGTGGTCTGGCGTCGCGAACCCCGGGATTAATTCAGCCAGATTGCATGGTCACTGCCAACTCACTGTGTATCGAAATCTCAGAGAAAAATTCAACTCGGTGACTATAAAGAACAGGCTGACCTCACGTTTCCTTTGCTCTTCACCCATCACATCCATTACCTTGCTATCACTATTTATACTAGAGTTTCGAGATCACTAGCAGTTATATCGAGGCGATGCATTTAATTACCACTACGATCGTCATCTTATCGGCTTGCGGGGCCGCTTTTGGCAGGCTGGAGTGTCCTAGAGCCAGACCTCATGGAATGTGCGGTACTCCGACCCCAGACGGATTAAGCTTGATCAGTGAGTGGAGCTTTGTCTTTGGCCCTTCCAGTTATGTACAATGTGCAATGCTCAATCTTCTGACCTCCAAAAAAAAATCTCATTCGATTTCCTGGGGGTGCAATCTTAAAGTGTCTAATTTAACGCCAACGTATGAGGCTGACCCTCTGGTCTATGCTGGCTGTCAAACTACTCCTTACTGTGGCGATGATTGGATGTGGAAAAGGGTGGATGTAAGTCAATTGCAGGGATTAACAGATATAAACGCATGCTTCCGGTTTTACTTCCTTCTCGCTCATATTTTTCTGTGAATGTTTGCAATTCAGGCTGCGATGGGCAGTGGTGAGGGCATTCCAAAGGATGCAACTTTCGACCAACACTGCCAGGAGATGCCAAAATAATCCGGAAAGCGTTCAAATCTGGGCGCCTTTTGAGACTCCTATATTCTTGTCTATCTACTAGCTCATAGCTACGAACCGAATCGATTGTCGTGAAATGAGCACTTTATCAGGAAATCTTTGTGCTGTGATCTGTTGGGCCCTTTGTATGCGTCTATCGCTTATTTCACTTGCCGCTGTTTTCCTTTCTTTTCCCCCGAGCCTCCCGTTCATTTCACTTGAAACCAGCGACTAGACCTCTTTTGGGACTCGATTGTGAAGTCTTTGTTGAAACTTGACACCTGGATGCCCTATCGTTTACTGTTGTTTGAGCTGAAATTAGCCACGTCAGTTGCTGAACCACCTCGAACATTCTCGCAGTATCTCGCAAATGGAAGGTGAACAGCTTGAGATAAAAACACCATACAAGGTTCCTATCCGGCCTTCCACGAACTTAACAAGTCCCTCGCTTTGGAGGGTGGGCACTTTCGGTGTAGCCGACATTTGGTCGGCTGCACCTCCCTTATGCCCGAGTCTGGGCAGATTCGGAAGCAGGAGAGCTCAAGCTGCCGATCTTCCCAACCAGCTCATCCAATTTCATAGATTTTCCGTATAGTTACGGGACCGTAGATTCAACCGCCATTGATTAATTGAGAAACCATCGACTTCTGAAAAGAAAAACCTCAGATTTGAGTTGGACCCAATTCGCTTATAAAAATTCCTTTTGAGAATTTTAGTTGTTCTTGATGGGGATGAAGATCCCCATCTTGGGGACACCCTGCCCAGCTCTTTTCCGGGAATAGTTGCACGATGAATTTTCTATATCTTACTGCGTAAAAAAAGTCGAACAACTCGACCGTGACACGCGAGCTTGTTCATTTTAATAGAGAGGGCTCCCAGATGTTAGTAACCAGAATTTATGAATGTTTGAAGCCACTTTGGCTCGCAACCAGACATGATCTTCCTAAGATGAAAACATGGGCACATGTACACTTGCGAGGCAAATAATGTACTGGTACTTCCTTGTAAGTTGGCAAGAAAAGCAGGAAAACTGTTTTAAAAATGTATGAATCCCACGGTTTTTGATGTTGATTTATGTTACTAACATCTGGGAAGGCCTCTCCAGGGTCGTTACACGCCCGAATTACACGCCTCTCCCGCACCGTTTGATGGAGAGGCTGCACAAGCTCGGGCCTTCCGGGTTCGCGTATGTACTGCCTTCTTGAGACCCGACCCGGCATATCCGCCTCCAAAGTCGGGCACCCAACAGATGAGTGAAAAAGCGACGCGGAAGCTCACTCAACCGTGGACGCATTTCCCTCCGTGAACGCCACCAAAACGCGCCGCTGAAGAACAATGGCCCATTGACGTTGACTACGGTTCCAACAATCAAACCCGTAGAGGTACCGGCGGAGGCTGAAAGCACCAAAACAAACCAAAAAAGCTGGGTTTGGCAATATTCCAAGGCCTCCAAACGTGGTTCTTCACTGCTTGTAAAGTGGATCTAAAAAAAAAAATATTGAAAAAGTGAACCCCCCCCCCCCACAAAAAAAAGAGAAAAGAGACAATATGAATGGAGACTGTGGAGCAACAATCTGGCCAAAAAATTTCTTTTTCACAAACTGACAGTGAAATCACGTCAAAATGGCCAAATGGAACACCATTTCATCCAGGGTGCCAGTATGAAGACCCATTCTGACCATTTCCCATGCTGCGTATGGACAAAAACATGGCCAACACAGGTCTTATGTAACAATCTGAAAGTTTTAGTATTACATTATGATAATATCTACTAAGTGGACCACAATATGGCCAAAACATTAATGGCATAGTTCTGATAATTAGTAATTATTGAAATTATGATTTGTACCTTTATGATTTTCTTATGCTGAGTTTTTGGAGTTTTGTTTTTAATGCACACGATTAATTATGAGTCTCAACAAATCATCTTTTCATATGATATGGTGAATTTTTGTTGTTGTTCCCCTTTTCTTTTTCCTTTTCTTGTCAATAGTTATTTTTTTTTGTTATTATCATTAAAGGTTGTCAAGCAATATAAAATGTTAATCATCAAATAAAAAAGTCTTATATATCTATCTGGGATTCTGAGAGATAAACTTTCAGTTTCTATAGATTATTTATTCAACTCTTATTTTTTACTCACTTACAATTACACAAGTCAGAGTAATTCATGGTGGGACCACACAATTGAATATGGATCTTTTTTAGGTACATTAATGTGACCTGTATTTTGTCAATTATACTGATGATATAAATTTTTTTTGTATTCTTCACTTTGTTTAATGAGAATCATAAAATTGGAAAACACATCAGAATCACTTGTGAACAATCTAGTACGTATTGAGTATGAAAATCAACCATATACATCTTTTAACCAACTTTCAATTCAAAGGCTTTTCAAGGCAGTCTTGCACCATTTGTAGCCTCTAGGAGAACCTCCTGTGAAGAATCTATGTATTCATTTAAAAAAAGGAACTTGATTCAGGATGTAAATGGGTCAGGTTTGGGTCAAAAAACCATGCCCGAACCCAACCCAAGATACATGTTGGGTTGGGTCAGATCTCACAAATTGCTGCCCGAACCCGAACCCAACTATGTGGTGCTTGGGTCCGGGTTGGGTTTGGGTTGACCCGGCTTGACCTGGGTTTTTTGCCTCAATGTCGGATCCCGCTGCTTGAAATTCTGCCGGATGGTCGGTGGTTGGAGAGCTAGTGCGAGGAGGTGAAACCTTTCTTGGAGAGCACCCCAAGGGCCTGGAGACAAGTCTGAGTCGGGTTGGGGCAAGACCGCTCCAAGTTTGGAGCTCTGGCACCCCCACCCTGCTGTGCATATCCCCATAACCGGGTCACAAAAAATATATAAATTTATTATTATATCTTTATATATTATATATATGGTCAAAATAACATAAGAAATGGATTTCCCAGGTAAAATTACCCCTAGTCACCCACTACAACTACCCCCATATCTCTCATAGTTTAGAAGTTACACTGATTTCAACCTATCACAGGATATGTTTTGGATTATTTACTCTCAGTATAGCTTGTTTTGAATACTAGATGCATATTGAATATTGAATTCCTTTATTGGCACATAGTGCATATTGAATTCCTTTGTAAGTGCACAATCACATGCATTCCTTTGTAGTAGGACCTTGTAGACTAGCCAAAATCCCTCAAGGCAGTGCTATCACCAGCCAAATTCCCTCACCTGCATGTACTAGACTAGCTAAAATCCCTCATTGGATCTTCAGGACAGCTAAAATGCCTCAAAAGCCTGCACCCTGGGGCTAAAATCCCTCACATTTGTCTATACAAGGAGGCCTCTGCCTGCCAGTTGTTCCCTCCATCATCCCACCAGTGGACCAGATCATCTCAACCACCCTTATAAATAAATCCATCTTATATATTATTTCACAACTACAAGTCATAGCCACATAACATTTATAGCTCTATATACATTGAAATACATTTATAACACTTTCATCATCATCATAAAACAAAAGTGCCTTGAACCCATTCCATTCCTGGTTGAAGCATAGTGCTCCCAAAACTCACTCTCTTAAACTTTATATACCCCAAGGCCAAGGACCTGCGTTCAAGCGCCATCCTCAACAATATTTCATCATCACCATATTCATCAACAACAACTTCATCAACACAACCAATATTCAATAACCTCTTGATAACCTTGAACATATCAATCGGCAGCTTCATCTTGAACTTATTCCTATCACTATATATAAAATTGCCAAGCTAAGCTTTGTGGTCTTGTTATTCTGATAGTATAGAAGGGCAGAGCTTGCAACTCCAACATACCCTTCTCCATTCAGCAAAAGGGTTTCATAACCACTTTTGAGTCTTACAGCGGGTCAACCCAAGAAGAGAAAAGGTGGCGCAAACCCAAACCCAATTAGAGGTTGGGTTGGATGTGGTTTTTTTGGGGCCGGAAGCTTCCCGAACCCAACCCAAAACCCGACGGGTCTTGGGTTGGTCCCAGGTCAACCCGACCCATTTACATCCTGAAACTTGATCAATCATATTATTCCACCAGGTTGATATATGGTTCTATTTGGGTATTTTTGTTCATAAATCCCATGATTCATCAGAAGAATTTGTATCCCCTGGCCTCATGTCTCTTGAATATGAATGACTTGAGAGAATTCTTTTTTATTCTTGAGGACTCAGGACTTGATCAAAGGAGCCCATCCCATCCAACAATCTTGGGTTCTAGTCTACAAATGCCCAATTGACAAAAAAAACACCTTGCACTTTTGGAGTACCTAATCAAGTTGTTCAATCAGTGTTAATTTAGCCTTCTCTGATGCCAACCAATCAGACAGTGATTTGCTTTATATATGTAAATCTGGGGCAGAAATAAAAGATACAATTGTGATGTCTGATGGTTTGTTACAAAAGATGTGTTAGATGGGTGAAATAGACTTGCTCTTTCCCCTTATCTTTCAGCAAATTGGATAGTGAGTTTTGATCAATTCAGAAAAAATCATGGATTCTATTCCATTAATCAGATATTAAAATTGGTCAGGTAGTTTCTTTTTCAGCACAAATCTTGTTTCAAGTTTGTAAGTCATGACCCATAGAATAACACCCTTGTAAAATTCTTAATTTATACTATCCAAGTTAAATTTTAGAATCCATCACACAAAAGCCTCATCAAATCTTGAATACTTCTCCAAGAAGACATGATTTCCAGAGATGAAGCACCTTGCCTGAACTCGAATTGGGGAAATACTACTAGGGCCACTAATTCTGTTGTGCAGGTCCACAAAATGTGACTGCAAGGTTCAACTCAAATTTGACTGTGTCCACAGTTTGACTTGGATTTCCATTGAAAATGTTGGCTGTGGCCACCAGGCTGAGTATGTCGGCCCATTTTTCAGTTGGCTGTGGCTAACCAGCATGTGTGGTAGGGCCACAGAGGAGACAGCCCCACATCTAGATTCCAGGTGGGCTCTGGAAGGGAAAACAGGCCACCCAGTCAACCATTGAAGAAATACAAAAGACTAGGATTTTATTTCATTAGAATGAAAACTAATTGTCTAACATAATTAGGTATTAGAAAACATATAGCATAGACAAACCCAAGAGCAGGAGTTTCTGTGCAACTGATGAGGTAATAAGAAAAGGAGAGTTAAGAAAGAAAGAAAAACTAAGCTGGCCTATATGGCTCTTTCTTTCTTGAGCTAAGCAGAATGAGATGAAATTGACCACTGCAGTCATGTGATTAGTTTGGGACAACTAGCACTAAGAAATGACAATCATTGATTTCTTACTTCTGAAAGTTGAGTCATTGACTATTCTTTGTCACCTTTCCACTCTATAACTGCCATCTGCACCCACTGGTGGTTATCCGCAACAGATACCCGTCGACCATCTCTAACTAGTGTAAGGTGAGCAGACTCAGTTTTTGGAGCCTTCTCCGGATACTTTGTCCAGAAGTTATGCGGCCAATGGCCAGTCTTTCCTCAGTGAGAGCAGAACAAAGCTGTCTTAGAATTGTTGGCTTTATTGGAGGAAGAAGCAAAGGATTCCTTCTTTATGTTGTTTGAGATCGCATAAGCTTCAAGTCGTTTGACCACTGACTCAAACGTTTTGGTGGCAAACCCTATAGCGATGATGTTGCGGAAAGATTGATATTGATTGCAAGGAAGTTTTCAAAGCATAATCATGATTTTTACTTGATCGTCTTTGAGAACATTTGCAAGTACAAGTCGTTAGTTTGAGAGTCTTATTGCCAAGCAGAAGGATACAACGTCTGAGTATTCAATGTCAAGAAAATGATCAGGGTCTGCTGACCAAGCAACAAGATTGAAGCCGGAGTATTTATCCTTGAGCAGTTTCTGTTGAGTTTTCACCTCTGTTGCCTACTCCTCTCCAAAATAACTCTTCTTTTCCACCTTCTTTCTCTCATTTTTTCTTTCTTGAATCTTCCTGAAATAGACTGAATTATAGTTCTCCATGGCTGGTTTTTTGTTGAATCTTATGCATCTTAATAGTCTAATTAGATCTCACAATAGCAATTTATCAACAACACCTGTCTTACCGAGTGGCTTCTTCCTTTTTCTATTTTCACTATTTGATTCTTAAAAACTGATTATTTAGAATTAACGCCTCTGAATATGTGTGATTGAATTTCTGTTTTTTCTTGATTAACTTTTCTTAAATGACTAAAAGAGACTGAGATGTCCTGCCAAGATTGTTTCTTCCAAGAACTCATATAATTCTTTCTCTTGGTTTTTATTCAATATTCTTTTTTTTATTCATTTTCTTTCAGCCACTTTTTTAA